GGTTTGTATTTGTTCCATATTCTTAGTATGGCACTTCTCACATAATGATTTTTAAAATCCACATTAACTTTAATTTTATAATACCATAAGTTATGTTCTTCCAATTCTAGCATTCTTCTATTTCTCAGCAGCACCCACTCTTTCATCCAAACTAAATAATGGGCTGCAAAATACAGAGCAGTGAATCTTTTAGAAAAGCATTGGGCAGTTTCTTCTGTAAAGAAATACATTAAATTGCCAGATTGCATATTCTGTTCTTCTTACTGCATGGATTACAGTACCACTTTTTAAAAGTCTTTTATGAGTTTTGCCTGTCTCATTAATCTTATTTTTAAAATACTTCTATAATCTAGTCTAATCAATGTATAATCAGCTTTTCAGATTCAAAGAGCCAGCAGTGAGAGAACCAATGTGCTCTTCCTCTGGTAGATAGAGAAGAATGAATTTGGTTTTAGTAGGTCTACCATGTTTTGCCTGCAAAAATCTTGTTAGATGGCAACATACTTTTATGTTTTATAACCTTTTTGCTGCCAGCCACTGGCTGTCTGGAGTTTTGCAGATCAGATAAGTAGTTGTAGTTTTACCCTCTTTCTTGACATATTTCTGAGTGCTTAAAAACAAAAACTGCTCTCAACAGATTTACAATATACTGTGGCATATGTTCAGAACATTTTTATTGTTTCAGCTGTGCTTTGTGTAAACTTGTGATGTTTTCCCAGCCATTTATCTTCCAATCAAACTGATGTATTTATGGGTATTTACCTTGTGTGCTAGTCCAGTAAAGTGCTGTATTTCAGACTTTCAACAGTGTAATTGTTTTGTGCTATGGAAGATTGGAAAGTGAAACTTTCCATTTAGCATCATTCATTCACTGCATTATTTGAGCTTTATGTTCATGGAATATATCTTTGCTTTGATTAGTGCTTCTCTTTTTTATAGTATAAAGGCTTCATTTTCTTACAATGTAAGATGCAGTCTTCTAAACAACCACTTTCTATAGTACTGGGCAAAAACCTTTTGGATTATATTAAAATTAGATTTACAGAGCTACAGTTAAAGGGAACTAACATTTTATGCAAAATTGGAACTTCTCTTCCAACAGGATTTCAAAGATTATATTGCTTCAGATAGAACTCATCCCTTATAGCATGTGCCATTTTCCTGCAGGAAATGGAGAGAAATCAGTACTGCAACCATTAGAATGTTTATAATCAAAGCTATTGTCTAACTTCTAATTGTGTAACAACCTGTTTATTATATACCTTTTATACCCCTAGTTACAATGATGCTGCTTCTGTTGAGGGGAAAATCTACCATTATGCTTCCATCAAAGGATACAGATATACCTCACAGTATAAGAACATGCTTTCCACCCTGTTTCAGCACCCCCTCTCCCCTACCCTCATTTTTGTTTTCCCCCTAGAAGACCTATTCAGAAGAGATTTTAGGAAGTTACAGAGGAGCTACAGAAGAATGCTTCTTTGTGCTAGTGGAAATCTGTTTTGTGATACTGGATTTCATCTGGATAATCTCACCACAATTGGGGAATCTGTGTGACTGTTTTTTCTAAGGAAATGTATGAATAATGAATAGTAGATTGCAAATTAGTAGCTAGAAAGTACACATAGTGTTAGCATTCATGGTTGTATCATGCTTTGTACTAGCAGGATATTAAGGAAGCTAAGAGCCTGTTTTAGCTTTTCCCAACCTGTTTTCCTCTAAACATCTTCAGGATACAACTCCCCACTGACTAGAAATTCTGGGAGTTGTACCCTCAATACAGAGAGAGAGCAACAGTTTGGGAAAACCTTCTTTTGTTGGTGATGATACCTGGACATCTTCACTTTTCCATGTATACTGGATTTTATGAGAAGGGAACAATTCTCTGCTTGAGAATTCTCTGTTAAGCAAGGAGAGAAGAATGTCAGATGTCATTACGTACTTCCTGCTTATTTCTAGAATTATGAAAGGCAGCAGTTGGACTCTTTCTTCAGCAACATGCATTCTTTGTTTTCTTGTTCAGATTTTCTTTTCAAAAGATTATAAGATTAAAGGGTTATACATGCAAGGTAGACATACATATTAAGAATTTTATCAGTCTGAGAATATGAGAGTACATTTTTTAAAATGTATTAGGTTCTTTCCATATCATTCTCTGCAGAAACCTAATAGTCAAGCTGTTTGATACAAATTATTTCCGGTAATAGATAGTAGCGTAAGTGTTTTATTAATATTTAAGTTATATTTTGGCCTTGAAAGAATAAATGATAGCAGTACTAAACGTTTCATATGTTGATGATTAACTGCTATTTTATATAACTTTAACTACATAATTCTTTAAGGATATTATCAAATATCCAAAATGTATTACCTTCTTAGTTGAAAAGAATTACGCTTTAGAACCACTTTGCCAGTTTCTTTGGCAATCTATTGAAAAGTAAAACATAACTCCATTACGTTTTGACTTGTATGTCATACCTGAGTGATTTCTTTGTGGTCTGCTAAGAGTCAAATATGTCATGGGAATCTTGTTAATCATTATTGTGCTCTTTGTTAGATGGATCTATTCTTGAATATGTATTGTTGGAGCAATGGAATGTAACATAGACATAACAGTATACTTTTGACTATACGAGCAGTCTACAACGGTATGCATAGCCATTTAAAGGCTCTTTGTGCACTCTGGAATTCTCTCAAGAGGAATGAAGAGTACAACTTTACAGTGCACAAATAAGCAGGAAGCATGCTTTTAAAAGTCAATGTTAGTTGACTTGATTTCATGTATTTTGGAGTGATTGAGAAGGAATGGGAAGTATATACGTATGCAAGAAGAGGGATGTCAATAGGAATACGGAAGAATGCTTTTAAGTAAACAAATCTAATGCACATTTCCCAAGTTAAAATGCAGTTTGGAAGAGAGTTTTCCTGAGTTCAGCTCTGTGGTTTGCAGCGCAGTTTGTGGCTGAAAAGTGACACATCGAAATGCATATATTTAGGAAGGTCTCATGAAGAAATGTATATGTGTTTTTAAAATGGTACATTGAAGCAGAATTCATTGGAACCGACTTCCTAATGAAAATAAATGAAAGGGATGTGGGCTAGCTATATATACTACCAAACATGGACAAACTGTTGTAGAAGAATATCTGAAAACAGCAGTCAGAAACAAATGGGGGGGGGGGGGGAC